CCTCGCTACACGGCCGCAGCAACTCACGATCGGGCGTAACTCGCAGATTGCAGCGCTGACTCGATACACACCAATGAAGTAGTCTGCGCCTCTGCGTTGGCTGTACATTTTCCGAGTGTGTTGCTGCTGTCTTTATTGATGATTGCGTCTACCGGCGTGGACACATGGATTGCCAACCAAGGACCTTTGAGCCGAAATGGTGAGGCCATTCCCAACCAACCCATCTACCATCTGGAGCCAGGAGGAGGGCTTCGCATACACCGCATCTCCAGAGGATATTTCGGCACACCAGACCAGATTAAACAGATTTAGAGGAAGATGGGGCCGCAGAAAACCACACGATTGGATAGGCAGACTGAGAAGGGGTTGATGAGGAGTTGAGTGGGTTGGAGCCTTTGGAGGAGAGGGAACGAAAAAGGTTTCGGCATCGCCATCAGCCGCCCCTTCCACGATCCCTGCGGCGGTTTGATCCACTCACTTGGCAACACTGCACTAGTCCCAAAGCAGCAAGGCGCACAAAGGTTGTCTCCTAGTGCCCCCCAGATTTGGGGCTCAAGTCCAACGTCAAACCTTGTCAACTTCAACCTCACAGCCAGGGGCTCAGGCATTTTGGGCGACACTACGAAACCCAGACGTGTTACATCACTGCTTCACCTCATCGCCACTCAATGCCATCGCCTCAAGCCCTCTCTCTCTCGCCCTCATCCTCACCCACACTGACACTTTCAGTCTCTGTCACCCTCTGCGCCTTTCTCTCACTCTGGCTGCCGGTCCCTCGAGCCTCGAGTCTGGGTTCGTTCCAGCCCGCACGCATGCTGCTGCACCTCAGGCACCCTCAGCACACATTCTGCTGGCTCGTTGCGACGGGGGACTGCGTGAGAGCCCAGTCTTTTCTCCTCACCTCAGCCCCCCTTCCCAAGGTTCCCATGGTTTTCGTATCGTCGAGCTGGAGCACCTTGCTCCGCTGGAAGGCAAGGGGTCTGAGAGGCAAGCACGGCAAAGAATCCCAAATCAGCCCAGTGAGTAAGTCGGCGGGGTCGTGATGAACATGGTTGTCGTCCCGCGCCCAGCCCTGTCTTCCCTGTTCTTGAGCCCTCTCTAGGAGGACCAAGACCAAGATACCTGGATACCTGGATACCATGATACCATACAATTCCTACTGTACGTGACTGTGTGTATGTATGGTGGCCCTAGGAGTCCATCCCCAAACCAGCAACATGCACGTCAAGAGACGTTCGCCCCATCTGAGCCCCTCACTGCCTATCATCCAGTCGCACGTCGACTCGAGGTACAGCGCGCGTCTCATTCGCTCGTTTCTGTCCCCGTCTTCTGGATGGCCCGTCTTTTCCACAAGAGTGTCACGGTGGTCGCCCTCGCCCTCGCCCTCTTTGGTAGGCCATCCATCAGCCGTGTTACCCTGGACCAAAGTTGGACTTGGGCCCCATTTAGCGGTTTGGCTAACTCTCCGGACCTCATCTGGCCCGCGCGGGGGCCCTTCCCGAGCCTGTCCCTTGCAACTTGCGACTGGGTACCTATCTATCTATGTTAGCCCCCTGCTGAGGTGGGCCTCTCTGTCTCTGCCACGCTTTCTGTGATCGCCTTTTGACCTCTTCATGCGGCCTTCCCTCCTCCTCCTTCCGTCTGACTTTTTGGAACTGGTCTCTTTTTTTCCCTTCCCTTCCTTCAGGCCGGTCCCTTTCCTTCTCTTGAGTGGCTGGTCCTATTACTCCTTGTTTCTATTCGTAGGTCCCGACTTCGCCTAGTGTCTGTTTCGTCTGGTCCGCCTTCTTCGTCCAAGAGCGGCAGTCCATTACCATCCATCCTGTCTTTTCACTTACTCTTTTCACTCCTCCATCCCATCCGTACGATCGCCATCCTTCTCTTCTCCTCACTCTCCTCGCCCCGACTCACCCATACTCTCCTACACCTCATACGACCGGACCAACATCGACTCTTCTATGGATTAGATGGTTCGAAAAGCGTATTAATATCTGGCACCGCTGCGGCTCGACGCCTGCGCTCATCTCTTCGACGACCAGTGCCAGTTGAATAATCGACGAGATGGATAGCTGGGGATATGGAGGCGACTTGTGGACGAGGGCCGACGATGACAGTGTGACGGACGGTAATGGCGTGACGGATTCATTACGAGGGCCCTTCAAGGCCACCAACAACTCGACATCGGCCATCATCAACCAGTTCCGCTTCCAAGCCGCCAAATCGATTCGAACCTCGACCATCATTCTCGCCGTCTTCAATGTTATTGCCGCATTTGCAACAGCAATTGGTATCTTTTGGGATGGTTATGCAACGGCAAAGAGGAACAACCAAAAGTTCGGCTTCAGGTACGCTCATCATGGTCGTCACGAATGGGTCAAGTCAATGGACTAACACTTTGCTCCAGAACGCATGGATTCACTTTCGTCGGACCTGCAGAGTCCTTTCCTCTCGTTCTGTCTGTCGGTATTGTCGTTCAAGGCATCGTCTTTGCCATTGCACAGTCGACTGGACTCGACCATCTCCTGACTTTGGGTTGCACCATCACCTCCCAAATGATGCTGCCTGGTTCGTAGCCCTCACAGATTTATCCCAGAAGCTTGGCTGACAATCGAGTGTAGCGGTCTTCATTGTTCCGTATATCCAACTCGTATTCGCTCTCGAGGTGGCCATCCGGTCTCTACGAAAGAACCCACTGCCGTCTCGTGGCAAGTGGAATGTTACCATTTGCCTCGCCATCGTCGGCACTTTTCTCCTCATTACCTACCTAGTTACCCTCTTCGTTCGCCCTCCTAACTTCTGCTTTGCCTCGCTTTTCTGGTTCGTCCAGCGCTGGAAGGAGGGTTGCTTCGTACTCCTTACTTTTATCTCAGCGGCGTTGCTGGGCTCAGCTCTGGTGATCTTCTTCCGTCTCCACAACAACATCAGAATCGAGAACAGCGAGCGTATTGCCGCGTCTAGGATGGTCTACTTCCTGGCAGTAGCCTTCATATCGACTGTGGGTATCTACTATAACATCTTATCCGAGTCACATACTGACGAATGCAGACTCTCCTCATCCCCTTCTTCTTCAATCTCTCATTTACCGAACAGCGAGGTGCCACTGGCCAGGCCCTGACGCTTTCCATGATTGCCTCTGTCGTTGCCAACGTATCTGGCCTATTGACCGGCGGTCTGCATCTATTCTTGCGATCAAATACTCTATCTACTATCGGCCCCCGCCAAAGCGACAAGTGGGAGTCGGAGCGTAATAAACTCAAGGCCGGCATTCGTGTCTATAATGGCGACGATGATTACGAAAACCACATGATGAACCCTGTCGGCCGGGCCCGTTCCCTGCGACGCATGGACAGCACCGACAGCCTCGTGCCTGAGAAGGAGGAGGAGGCACGCATCGAGAGTCCTTCTGGGTCTCCCACCTATGCCAACCCTCTCCGACAAAACGCCGTATGGCAGCCGGCTCGCTCCCCTCTGAGGACGCCGGAGCCTGCTCAGGTATCAACCTACCAGGTGCCCAAGGCTCATGCTCGCAAGAGGTCCTACTCCTTGTTCCCATCTGAACAAAACAACAACACCAAGTCAATCACTCTGCTTCCGGCGAAGACATACGCCCCTGGGGCGAGAATCCCTGATGAGGACGAGATGATGCTACTCAGACCTCCTCCATTACTCCATCCTCATGGCATCCGCCATCGTCGCGATTCTTCGCTTGCATCTTCAGCGACTGTGCAGATTGGCCTGCGCCTGTCAAACGTCGATGACATGCCCCCGCTCAACTCACAATATTTCCAGAACAATGCCAGCGTGAACAGCTTGAGCTATCCCGATGAGAGGGATGACGAGCCTATCAAGCGACCCAGCCCCTTGGCACAGGTCGACGTCCTGAGCGACAGCGGTTCATCCGACTCTGAGGAGGATGCGACTTTGGTCTCATCTTCTCCCATCCGCCCACAAAAGGACTTGCGGATGAAGACGCTCCCATCTGTTCCCAAGGTTACTGTACCCAGACAATCCCAGCTCAAGGAGCAAGAACCGGAGCAGCTCACTCTCAGCCCGGCTGTCTACAGGCCTGAGAGCCCCCAGAAGACGAGGGTGACCAGCCCTCAGGGTGTTGGCTTCAACACCCCTGCGCAGCGAAAGAAGTCGCCGGTCAAGTGCACCAAGCAGAATTGCCAGTGCTCTGCTGAACACGACAAGCGCAACTGGATCTGAGCCCAGACCGGCGATCTGTATCAATACTGGCATTTATCGCACGCGCTACAAAAAACGTTATAGACACTCGACTAAACCGGGCGGTAAAAAGCGTATGATCCAACTTTTTCGGTCACTGAACGGAGTTTGTTGGCGAACTGTTTTCTCTTCTTATATTTACTATTTCATTGGACGGCGTTTTTATGCGGAGATACCTGTATGACTAATAACGTCTACATATTGTTTGTTTCTTATGTCTCTATGGCTATGTGCTCCCAAAAAGCACATTGTGTACGATCTTGGGGGCGGAACAAGGCTTTCATTGGACTGTAGGAGAACCCAGTAAAGGAGGAATCAAAGAGTCTCGGACTACCAAATGGAAGGATGGCAATGACGACGATATGACTAGCCACGAGACGGACCTGGTGAGCGGAGGTAAAGGCCACTAGAGGGCTCTACAGCACAGAAGAGATAGCTCAATGAATCAAAGAGCTCAAACAATCATGAACTTGGCGGACCATTTGCATAAACCCGTGATAAGTGCCAGTCGCTTTCCGCACTGCCAGCTACTACCGTCTGAGGTGCTAACCCAACTGACAAGAAGTTAGGACACTAATAGGTCCCTGAAACTACAGTACCTGTGAAATCGTCGGCTGCTTTGATAGAAACTCTACGCTCATATGATGTATTTCCCGTTCTTATTGGCTTCGGAAGTCACCCTGCATTGAATCCAGCTCTTAAAGGAGATTGTGTAGTTCTAAACTTACCTTGCCTTTTCTGTTACAAGAATCTCTCTGTTTTTGAAATACGAGGTCAGACATTTAGCGGTATCATGGGATGCCACGTACGGCGATTTGAGGGTATCATGAGGTTGGTGCAAAAAATTGGCAAGCCTACTGCCACCAACACACAATCAAAACAGCGATGCTAGTGGTAATTCATCTGCTTTGCCTCGGTGCACAAGGTCCTGCGGATTCCACAACGAAAGAAGCCAACGTAGCTCTGCTTATTTTATTTAGTCTTCTGCTGGTCTGCTTCCACACGCCTCTCCTCCCACTTATCCCAGCCAGCCTGGCAGGGGTCTTCTTCCACAACCAGATCCCGAAACCTGAACAACCGCGCAACGGGCGTCTGCAAGCCCCAGGCCAGAAGCCCAAAATCCCTCGCAATAGCCGTGACCAAAAACCAGCCGATGGCACACACCGTCCCGGCCAAGCACCCCACCATCACCTGCTTCTCGGTGTGGTAATTTAGGTATATCCGGCTCCACGCCACGGCCGCAGCGATGCCCAGGGCAGCGACACTAACCACGACGCGCTCGACGAGCGAGTACGGCCGGTGGTGCCGGCGCGCGGACGAGGGACGGTGCCTGACCAGCAAGAAGAGGACGAGGAAGACGGACCAGTAGGCGACAAACTGGGCGTGGGAGCTGGGCATGCCGTAGCCCTTTCCGTGGATGCGGCGGGGGCGCTCCTCCTTGATCAGGCGCTTGAGGGCAAAGTTGATGGCTTCGCAGCCCAGCTGGCCGGCGAACATGAGGGCGATTTCGACCTCGCGGGTGGACCAGATCAGGGTCGCGTAGACGATGCAGAGGGCTTGCGGGAGGAGCGCGAGCCATGCGCAGAGGAAGGAGAGGGAGTCGTCGGGGTCCTGTGAGGGGTTTGGTTAGTTTTTTGTTCAAGCAAGTCACTGGCAGTAGGTAGTTCTCCGGGGTTTTGGTCTCACATAGTAGACGTGCGTCAGGGAGAGAGAGGCTAGTGGTCTCGTGTCTTGGTCCATGATTTTCGACTCGACTGCATTTGCCTGGCCGTGAGCTTCGATATGATGGCCTTGTCCTCAGGGGTTTAGGGGGAGGAGAGGGATCTGGAGAGTCCTTAAATGGGAGATGCCATGTGCCTCGGCGAGAAAGAGGTTGGGCGATGGAGAGACGCTGGGCTAGCTGGCTGACTGACTGACTCCTCCTAGGGGCTGGTAAAGTTAGAGCAGACGTCGCGGATCGTGGTGCACAGCACTCTAGAAGTGTCAAAGTGCAGCTGTGCAGAGTGCACCGGGGCCTTTCTACGGCCAAGCTTCTATTTCTTCTCTTCCATTGCGTACTTGCATAAATACGTCAGGTTGCATAGCTTCGAGCTCGGGCCAATCGGGAGCTTCTATATCCCCGCCAGCGCAGAGTGTACAGACCTGAGTATAGAGTGCGGCATGCCTAATTATTCTTGTGGCGCCTTTTGTGGCGCCTTTTGTGGCTTGTAGGTAATCCGCAGGCCTGGACCCTTCGTGCCTTCCACATTTTCTTGAAGGTTCCCGTCGCGGCGTCGCCCTTTGTCACTCCTATCGGCCGAGGGACTGACTGATAACGAATGACCCCACCGTCATTCTTTTCTGCTGCCTCTTTTTGCCCCGCGATTGCAACGGCCAAAGAGTCATCATTTCATTGTCTGTCCGAACGCCAGTCAGCCAATTTTGCGATCCAGGCGCTCTTACAGCCGCCATTTCTCGCTTCTTCCCCTCCGCGCTAGATTACTCTTACCTTTGCCCGAGAAGAAAAAGAAGAATGGTCCCGTCATAGCCAGTCGCACTTCTCGCGGGTTCCGCGACCGTCTCCAGTTTATTTCCAATCATCACCACCACGCACTCGCCAACACCACCAAAACTTTGCGACTGTCGCCACCAGTCATCTCTCTGCGTTCAAATTCCCATCTCCCATGTTCGTCGCCACTTCACACAAGCGCAAGACCCTACTCGCTTCTTGACGACTTTCGGCAGCTTTGGATTGAATTTTCATCAAAGCATGCAATACGCGCCTTCCGATCAGTAGTAGCTATGGACGACGATAGCGACGACCCGCGCCAGGATGAGCTCAGTTCTCTGCAGGCAATCTTTCCCGAAATCGAGCTCGACGACAACCAGCCCTTTCGTTTCACTATCGAGTTGCCCGTTCATCCCGCGAAACCCGTGACGGTCACTTTCCCGGCCGCATCCAATGTCGACGATACAGCCGCTGCCCAGCTTCCCGGCGTCGAACCCCGAGTCGACTCCCATGAGCTCTCACACCTTCCCGCTGTCGTGGTCCGTATGGACTTGCCCATGGGTTATCCCTCCGACAACCCCCCGAGCGTCAGCATCAGCACATCGCCGCCGTGGCTGTCCGAAGACGTAACCAAGAAGTTGGAAGACGACGGGCCGAGATTGTGGGAGGACATGGGTCGCGACATGATTGTCTTCACCTACATTGACCAGATCCAGCAAGCTGCTGACGACGTGTTTGGCATGGTCGACGGAGCTGGCGCGTTGGAGGTTGACCCGTTACACAAGATCGCCATTCTGGACTACGACATTGAGGCTACTCGGGCGGCATTCGAGAAGGAGACCTTCGATTGCGGTGTTTGTCTGGGTATGGTTTCCATCCGCGTCCCAATACTCGTGGCTGCTAACGCTTACTTTGGGCAGATCCTAAGAAGGGCTCAATGTGTCACAAGATGCTCGACTGCGGTCACATTTTCTGTACTCAGTGCTTGCAGGAGTTCTACAGTAATGCTATTACGGAAGGAGACCTGGCGACCGTCCGCTGTCTCGCTCCCAATTGTTCCAAAGAGCGCGCCGAAGCCGCGCGAGGACCGGGCAAGAGCAAAAAGAGAAAGGTCAAGACCTCGATCAGTCCTAGTGAATTGCTCCAGATGGGGTTGCCTCATGACATGGTGACTCGCTACGTGACGCTCAAGTACAAGAACGAACTCGAATCCGACAAGAACACGATCTACTGTCCCCGATCTTGGTGTCAGGGCGCGGCCAGGTCCAAAAAGCACAGGAAGCCCGAGGGACTTGAGACGATCGACGAGAGTTCGGATGAGGAGACGGAAGAGGAGACCGACGCTGATGGAGAAGACGGCGCGGGCGAGAAGAAGAAAAAGGCAAAGAAGAACTTTGAGGCTGGAGATCTTATAGCCATCTGCGAAGACTGCGGGTTCGCGTTCTGCAGCCGCTGCTACCAGTCATGGCATGGCGAGTTCATCAGATGTACGCCCAAGCGAGACAAGGGCGAAATCTCTGAAGAGGAACAGGCGTCGATCGACTACATCAACCTGCATACAACGCCTTGCCCTACGTGTGGTGTCCCGGCGCAGAAGACTCACGGCTGCAATCACATGATCTGCTTCCGCTGTGCCTCCCACTTTTGCTATCTATGTTCGGCCTGGCTCGACCCGAGAAACCCGTATGCCCACTTCAATGAACAGCCCAACGGCAAGATCACTTCCTGCTACATGCGCTTGTGGGAGCTTGAAGATGGCGACGGCGACAATGTCGACATTGGCTTCGCTGGTGGACATCAGATCGAGCAGCTTTTGGAGATCCCGCCTCCCGCACCCCCAGCTCCCGTTATTGACCTTGTTCCCGAGATCGAAGAGCCGGACGACAGCGATTCGGATACAGAGGCGAACGATGCGGATCGGCCAGCACGTCCTGCGGCGGGTGGTGTTGCTCGAGAGGGACCGCTCGTTTTACGTATCGAGGCCAATCCAGCTCCCAGAGGAGGTCGAGGAGGAGCAGGAATCGGAGCAGCGCTCCATGGTCCCATCCCGCCAGCCGCACCGCAGGCACCCCCCGTTCATGCTAGAAGAGGGTTTCCAGCAGCTCGAGGTGGGCGAGGTGGCCGTGGAGGCCGAGGCGGTCGTGGTAATCACAGAGGTGGGCCTCGGCAAAATCAGCAGCCGGAGGCTCGACGGGGAGCACCTCCCCGTCGGCATGAAGACTTTGACCCCAATATGGTCGAGGGTTTGGGTGACGGCGAGCTCGATGCCGCGCAGCAGGCTTGGATCAGAAATTTTGTTCAAATGGCGTTGGCGGACCAGGAAGGGGACAGCGACGACGACTGAACGAATGTAGATTCACTATGAATTAGATGGGTTATCTAAGGTACAACCGGGCGGGGTGTTCACCTTTGGTAGAAAGGTGGTGTGAAACCGCCTCACGGCACAGTAACTTGGAGACGACGACAGGATGATAGGATGATGAAGGTCTGATAAGACGATGATGTTAATGAACTACAAACACTTGACTGGAACTCGAGGAGCCGCTATGTGTGGTGCTGTGATGTGTTCAAGAGGCAGTTGCTCAGCAGCATGTCGGCCAAAGAACGAATGGCTCCCTCCCTGTTCCCCCTTTTCTTTCTACAATGATCGGCTTTGGATCTGGATTATGAACATTTAAGGCACCGGTCCGTTAACACAGAACTGATTTTGATGCTTTTTCTTCATCAGTTTCTTTTATGTTCATTCTTTCCATTCCTTGCTGCCTTTGCTCCTATCGCGAAGACGTTTGGGGCCACAACAGACTTCCCCACATGCGAGGTTGTTGTTCTTGCAGTGCTGGCACCATCGGCAGTATAGGCTGCTTCCCAAAGCCAAAGGTTACATCTACAAAGGCCCCCTTTCTCACAAATCCCCTTAAGAAGATATGCGGTGGTTGGGAGATCTGCGATATTCACAGTATTCACATGACGCCGGGTCGATGTAGGGGCCAGATGACAGCCGATACTCTACTTTCTTTACCCTCCTCCTAATGTTATCATCTGGTCAATCTGTCCCATCCAAGCTACGCTTTGCAGTAAGACCCGAGAAGAAGACCTTGTATGCTTTGGGTACCAGAGCAGGAATCCACAAGTATCCCGAAATTGAAGTTTACTCTCCCTATTCTCTCTCCGTTTTCCTTTCTCGGATATTCCGTCCTCAATCTCCCAGGTTTCCTCCTTCCAGATCGAATATCCCCTGAGCCCCCGACCCTCTTTCCCCGTCCGTCTCCCCCCGACTGCCGGGCCCGATTGATTAAATAACCTAGGGAGTACTGCGTATATCCGTACAACTCACCATGGAGACATAAAATACGGGGGAGCAACAAGATCGGTGTAGGGATCATGGAAATGTGATATTCAAGCCAGGGGGGGAGACGACATGTGGGAACAGAGCAGCACTGCTAAATTCCCTCACCTCGAAGCTTCACTTCGGTGTACGGACATGAACATGTAATATCTAGAACCTTTCAACGCTTCAACTTCAGGGTCTGTCTGATGAACACCTCCCTCCCACTGAGCCTGAGCCGAGCAAACGGCAAATGTGTAATGACACTGCCCCAAACGGTTGACCGTAGCTTTCCCATCTCGCTTGAATCGCTTCGCCCCCCGACCATTTCGGAATCCGACGACGGCATCTGTTCTTGCCTCCCAGAGTCCCAGGGGAGGATGAAAGGGGGAGGGGGGTCTCATCACATCTACCAATCCATCCATTCATCCAACCCATGCGAACGGATACCTCGAACGATATCACAGGATCCAGGCGACATATCGCGAGAAGAATACGCGCGCGAGCTGGTACCTGAAAATGAAGAGAAGAGAAAAGGAGAAAACAAAGACGAGACCGACACTGGGCAGCTACCTTTCCGTTCCGTACGCGCGAATATAGGGGACGCGAGAGAGAGAGCGTACAATCTACCAATATGGATGCCACAAAAACGATGAGGACAGGCGGACTGTACTCAAGTCACAACTGAACAAGGCTTGATCTTCCTTCCTCAGAACAATTCCCATCAAGAGAAAAAGGCACGTTGCTCTCCCATACTATCTACAATCCAGCTGCTCTCTCTCTACCTACGGATACTCCTCTACCTTCAATATCCTAGGTTCGAACGACAGTCACCGATGGCCATCCTGAGACGTTCATCCTTTCAAATCACGCAGAATATCACGCACCCAGCAACATTACCTACCCAGCTAAGCACAGATATCTCTCTCATATTCAAATCTCGCCTACCAACTCGCGCCCGCGGGTGCGGGAAGGGGGGCGAAAGGGGGGTTACGTTGTATTGTGGCATGTACCGACTTACCGTGGTATTTTCATACTGATACTCCGCGTACACAATGTACTTTCGCTCTCTCCATTTCTGCTGTCAAACAGTTCCCCCTCGACCAAGGCCTGTCAACCAGCCTCTCAGGCTCTTACTCCGCCAACTGCTGCTCGGCTTCCTGCCTTACAATCAGGGGGGACAAATGGAAGGCTGCCAGTCTGCGCCTGCGGAGAGCTCTCAGGCCAGGCACAAGGTAGCTCTCGTTCTAGCAAGGGGGGGTAAAGAGAGGGGTAAGGCAAGGCCAGCCCCAGGTCAGTGTAGCAGAAGAAAAGGGGACATTGTGCGAACTTGAAAATCAAGGGTAGCAAGGGCTCATGGAGAGCAGAGTAGAGCAGAAAGGGGAAAGTAACACCCTCAGAGCTGCTAAGAAACGGGTGCTACTCTCCAGAAGAAGCTCTAATCTGTAGTATACTACTCTGCTCTGCTCTTCGCACCTTCACTGCTACGCTTCCGGGGTTGCGTGCTTGGGGGTTAGTTCAACGGCTTTTCCAACCCCTCCTCCTGCCTACCTAACGTACTACCCTCCTTCCTCTCCCCGAGAGAAAGCAGCGGACCGCGTGATGGGTGACACGGTTGGACGCGGATCGCGGGCGAGGAACGGCGGACAGCGGGATAGCTTGTGTCATCATATGAGTCGTGATGGTAGCGGGCGGAAACGATATGACGCAGAGAGCCGCCTGCGAGAGGCTCGTTCGTTGAGTCGTTAACGAAGGCTAGCTTTGCGACCTGACCGTACAATTCGTGAAGTGTCCCGCCGGGCGTGTCGTCTGCCGGATAGGAAACAAGGACCAAAGAACCAAGAAACCTGAACTGCCACCACCCCTCCCCTCCCCAGCAGCTCAACTCAGATCCTGTAGCTTTTGCTCATTTGCGAGTAGCAGAGCAAGTTGGTACGGATAGACCCCGAAAAAAAAACCCAGGCGGGTCCGGAAAGAAGAGAGGCGAGCTTTGAGAGGGGGTCCGGGGTGTTCACCGAAGGCGTGGCAACCCAGCAAGCAGATTAACACAGTAAGAAAGAAAATATCCGAAGAGTACAACGCAGTTCGCTACAGCACACTGTGGGCATCGTTGCAGATTTGCAAGGTAAAAGGGGGCAAGGGGCGTGGGTTCAAGTGAGTTCGAGTGTGATGGAGGGGGATGTGGATGTGAATGGGGCCATTCAAATCATTGCTCGAGTGGACATGGCCTTAAGATCCAAGGTCTTAAGATCAAGGTTAACTGCCACGGCCCTAGGCCCTTGATGCTCCCGTACGCCATACGTCCCATGGCAGGGAAGTATGAGCGAGCGAGAAAGAGAGAGACTCGAGGAGAGTAGGTAGACCGAGAGAAAGAGCAGGTAGAGGAGGGGTGCCACCTAGCAAGCTCTGATCGCCGTCGCGTCTGCAACCCGTATACACACCCTCCTCTTCTGTCAAAATCAAGTTGTATGTAGTGGCGTCAGTGAAAGAACAGTAACCTCGTCGCCGCCGCCGCCGCTGCTGTCCGTGCCGTCGTGTTGGATATGTTGCCACCGGGACAACTGCTACATACGTAAGGTTAAACCCACGACCGTCGATTCAGAAAAGTGAAGCCATCTACGGCCATAAAACTTGCAAGGCCTGAGATCACCGGATCATTCGGCTCTGTGCGAGTTGGTGATCACTCAGTCTCCGAGTGTTGGCCCTACGGCAGCATGGCCATAGCTGACATCTTCTCCATCTTGCCTTCTCGTGATATTGCTCATGGATCATGGACCCGGGGAAGTCTGTACCGGATGGGGATCAAGCACGTTGACGACGCCGGCGAGGAAGTGGAGAAGGGGTCCAAGTGCCGTAGGTTCTATGCAGTCGTGGAAAGAACCCACGTCGCAATCTTGCTTTGATGGATTCTCGCCAGATTCACACTTTTCTGCTGAAGACAAGTGGAGTGTGGCCAAGAGTGGGCTGCGAGGCAAATGTTGACTGTGGTGGTGGAGGGAGCAAGGAAAGGATACGCACGCCCGCGTGTCGACTGACGAGGCCGGCGTCGCAGCGTGCTATGGTACGGACAAACACCAAACACGATGAGAATATGAATAGAAGCTCAGCCAAGCCGTGATAATGCGTGCTTTCTTGATGGTCAGCTCCCACAGGCAAAGGCCAAGGGAACAGGAGAGGAAAAAGGTTTCTTGTCCCTACGACCCTAGCTCCACTTTTGCTTCGGAAAGAATCTTGCGATTCAATACGACTCTATAGTGAGCGAAGGAGGGGGAGAGGGTTTCAAGAACACCTTGCTCTGACAGTCGCGCGAGTCGTCCTGGCAGGAAGCATCCAGACCCGATCATCATAATCGTACGAAAGATGGTCTTGCGCCCCCTCTCCTGTGATACGTTCGTCATCGCAACATTTGATGGCCGGTGTCCGTCCTCGACAGTCGTCGTCGTCGTCGTCGACGTCGGCGACGCCCACGGACATTGTGATCGAGGTGGGGAGGAGCACGCCGTCTGGGTCTAGGGATTGATAGACACAAGGGGCCCTGAAAGTGGCGGCCCCGGATGGATGACAGTAACGGCGTCGGACGCGACATCATTGACTAGTTAGGTCCTCGATGCCTTGATCAGGGGGAACCAAGGAGGCGAATCCAGCCACCCTGTCAGCACGCGGTCTACCACCTGCTGTTGCATTCTAGAGTGCTTTGCCGCACCGCCGATGACATTTGCGTAGGCTCGCGTTTGCCCATCGATGGGATCTGTGTGTCTGCGATCTCGAGAACTGGCCTGCCAAAGTATCATCAAAGTCAAACCACAAACGAGGCAAGAATGCGTATCTACGGCCGCACACATTTCTACCGAGAAGAATCTCGCAAGAACTAGCCAAAGGTTCCGCAGAGAGTAATGAGAGTAACTTGCGTGTAGGAGGTCACCAACCTCATCCGCATCGAAACCAGGCATAAGATTGTCTCTGGGTCAGTATATCTTCTTCCGTGCCAATTTCAAGGCCAGCAGAGCGGCAGAAAAGGTATACACTGTCGTCGTGACGAGAGCCAGGATATCCACGACTGACTGTCTACTAATCGGAACGCTGTTTTGTTCCCGGAGAGGAGCTCTTGAGTTATGAAAGCTGCCATTCCTCGCGTAGCTGAGAGAGGTTCGCGTGGACCCAGGTACAAATTATGAGAGGGCTTAACAGCGTTGCTATTGCAGCATCGCCAATGGAGCCAAACATTTCCTCATGAGTGCAAGCCTCTGCCGGACACGTCCAGAGCCGTCACACAGTCCCCGGCCCTGAGTCGGTCGCGAGGACTGGTGCGCTGCAGGAGCATATGCATGGGGATGAAAGGCCAGCAGATGTCGTTTGCGATAGGCCTGAGACCCTCCACTCCAAGCGTGCTTTGGAATGCAACGCTACTAACGACCGTTCACTCCCACTGTCCCACAACATGTAGTGTAAGGCGGACATCAAGACAGGTGGTAGACCGTAAGGCGACGTAGGAACCGCTCGAGTGGGGATGGGCTTGCACTAAGAAACGCCACGATCAGAAGTAGCCGCACTTTGTTTCTGATGTCGACGTCTTCACCCAGAAGCCGTACTGGGCGACGACAACCCAAGATACCCAATTGGTCGTGGAGATTGGTCGGAAAAATGCAAGGCTTTGCAGTCGGGCCTTCCAGGCTAAATCGCCGTCGTTGAGCGGGAGGAGGGGATCGCGGTGCCGGCCAAGCCCCCCCGTTCCTTGCTCCGAATAGTCGACAAGGGTTAGAAGGGGTATCTGAATGCAGAAACAAGCAACGACCAGGGTTTGAGAAACAAAAGCTCCCTCGCGAAAAAACAATCTCATCTCGGGATTGTGCAAAAGAAGATAACGCGGGCGGACTAAAGGGGGGCGGTCGATGGGTCGAGATGTTCGCGCTGCGGGGTACATATCTTGACAAGGACCTAAGAAACAATACGTTTGTTTGTTTTCACGAGCTTGTTGCATTTGCCGATAGGGTTCGGAGGATATCGACTTCTTTCTGCACAGCCGCTAGTCGTCCATCCATCTTTGATATTATTATTAGTTTTCCAATATTCCCCATCGGCCAATATCCGTCCCCTTCACCATTATCGGTTCGTGCATGCAGAGACGGCAGCTCGGAGTGTATGTGTGGCCATTCAGAGCCACTTTCTTCGGCCCAAGTCGCGGATCCTTCTTTCTTCTGCAATGGCACGGAGATTGGGTAATGCCGGGGGGGCCAGCCCGACACTCCTACTGCGGTGATGGCAAAAGCCTCTTGAAACAAAATGGCCATTTCTTACTGGAAGAGTCCGAATGATGATAGGGCTGCACCGCCACATATCACCAGCGATGCAAATTGTTTCCGTTCCAAGTTGGGAAACGAGGGTATTGCGACCATCTTCGGCCGAGATCCCCATGTTGTGCCATTCGCCTCGCCGCCGTCATGTAGGTAATCTCGGGTGATACAGCAGCATTGATGGGAACCATTTCCCGCCGCCCACTATCATTACTCCCGGCTTGTGAATGGTCACTGCGGCAGTATGACGGACTTGCTTGTTAAAAGTATCGCCAAGTCGGGTGCTTCGCGACACGCTGCTATGAATGTAGTTTGGACTGTTCAGAACTTCAGTCGCTCCGCGAGCCTCCAAAGGCCTCGATCAGCATGGCCATCCGTAAATGAGGTCATGTTTGGGCGATCCGGTCTGGACTCAGTGGCAGGGTTCAACCCTTCCACGGCAGACGTGGTAAAATCAAAACATGTTCAGGACAGCCAAGCGCGCCAGTCTACAGCCCCTGCGAGTGATGAAAGGTGTTCATCGGTGACCGGTCGTCCAGCTAAACGTCGATGCCTGCAGAAAGATGCTAGACCTGGACCTTATGTAGGTTGTTCGGGCTAGGTGCTTCTCTAGGCCCTAGAAGCCTTTCTGATCGCCCTCATCATTTGTCAATCATCGTCGACACCCCAGCAGTAGTTCGGAACGTGAGGCCGATTTGGAAGGTTTATCGGCGCGGCAACTGCAAAAGCGCAATGTGCAATTAGTCGTTAACGATGGTATCTGTAAGAGGTACCCCGTACGAATACTGCGCTCAGGCCCCGCCTCAAGCTCGCAAAGCGTCGGCGTCAAGTCTGGGAAGCTAGCAGGATCATGCGCCGCTATGAGATCGCATCCAACTGCTAGTTCTACTGCTCGCTTGTATCGCCTCGGTTCAGTCGCGTTTGAGTAGCTTGACAGCCGACGCTTTCCTGGCTGGCACCTTGCGAACCGTGTCGGCGCCTTTTGCACCATCGTTCCAGGATTTGGTGCCTGACGCGAACAGTGTGATCTGGGCGGCAACACGCAGCAAGGACCACCATGCTGTGCCCTTCACAGGATGTCCCAATCGCGCTTGTCGAGTTCATCTTATGATATGTGTGCCGCCGCAGACTGTTCGGGTATTGCATGCAAATCTTCGGCAAGCCTTTCCTGGGAAAGGGACACAACCCAAGGGACGGACGATTGACGATGAACTAAACTTTGGCGACGAGCCCACACGTGCGGCGGCTTGCGCCCGTCAGTGCGTCTGCAATGACCAAGCTGCCGCCTGCGAGTCAACGGCGCTGTCAACTCGAGGTAAGGGCCCATTCGCATTTGCCGGGGAGATCAGCGGCAGGGCCGTGACGGCCGTGCTGACTCAACACTGACAACCTTCACCCATCGGACCATCTCTTGAAGATTGGACCGTTAGGGCCCAGGGTGCACCGGGCATCGCCAGGGGGACTCAGTTCACCTAGAATCCGTCAACCAATCGAGCGAGGTGATGAACGGAGGGCGGCAGCTTCTTCGCGGGTCTGGCGAGGTGTGAATTTCGGGAGATGGAAAAAAAGACGACGCGGTTCTCAATCGAGCAGCAGATTCCTTACGAGGACGGGGATCATCGTCCCAAAGGAGGCTGCTGTGCCGGAAACGTGCCTCGAAAGAGCTTAGGCAAGAGTGGAGGCCAGCTTAATTCGTCCATGACCGGAGAAATGTGGATGGCAATTGCATGGGGCGGCCCTCCTCGGTAAAGACGGTTTGCAACTGTGACAAGGTCCAGAGGTGATGCTTGGCAGAGAATCAGGGAGTCTTGCGCCATTCTCGTGTCCCCCCGTCCCCATCCCTCCCCTGAATGAGAGAGTGACCCCCAGGCTTGTTTCTTGCTTGTCTTGTCGTCCTCGACGGATACACTGCGTATCCGTGTGTGGGAACTCGGGGGTGATGGCGTGTACGTCGTCTAGCAGTGCCACAAAGAGCCGACTGCCGCGCGAGAGCGATCAATGGCCCTTGGACGCTCTCATTTGGTCCCCGCCGCTGTGGCACTCTCAGGTTGCTCTCTGTCGATCCATCTTCATCCCATGGCTTATTGGTACTTCGTACGCAGTACTGGTCTCCAGGCTCCATGCTGTTGGAGCGACCCGATTCGGAGATTTCATGACCTTGGACTTTTGACGCGTTGGTTGCAACATGAAATCCATAAAACGAGCAGAGCCGACCGTTTGGAGCCGATTTTTTTTGCGCCTCGTGGCTGCCGCAATTGTTTCAATCCCTGGTACGGACGGTCTAAGCACCTGCATCACCAGCTAGTCATGACCCAGAGTCTGCTCGGCTTCGTGCCTGGCGCAATGCCAAGTGCAAAGGCCAGAAAATAATGAAAACCCTTCTTATTCAACTGGCAAATAGTGCATCAGCACATTGTTGGTGTTGTGCAGATGTGTGCTCGGAATAGGGGCCATTTCCATTGGGAGGGGTATATCGGATTGCAGATATAGGTCTTAGCCCGTCGGTTAATGGTCATGGGTGGAAAAGGGGATAATCTCGGTCGTGAAATCCACAAACAAGACTTGGAACTTCTTGTTTCTCAAAAATTCCGAGCCATCAACAAGTACTCCGTACGAGTGACAAAAGCATACATTTGGATTAGAAAGTGCCATATCAAGATGGCGAGCCCCTTGCTGCAGGGAACGTACGGAGGTCGGCCATGGCCGAGTCGTGCTCGTGGCCGTCAATGGTTTTGCTGTTTATCTGATGTAAATTCGTGTTTCCCATGTCTACACAGCCCGGTCGAGCCCTGTCAAGTGTTTCGATCTCGAAACACAGACCACCGCCAGACCAAATCAGTCACTCATCGAGAGGGTCGAAACAGTCCGCCATCGAGTGCCGTGCTCTTCTGTCCAGATATATTTCCCCACCATGAGCAGGATGACGAGAAATCTGGGCGACGGTCGGCAGAAGTTGGTCGAGTCCCTTAGAGAACCAATGAGATGTGCATCGAGCAGCAAAGAGGGCCAAGGCGTGACAGGGCCCGTGAGGGCTGTCAGGGGCTCCACGGTGGACCGACCAGGACGAGGGCTAGTCGGACAAGCAGGCGGCAAGCCATCTGCACAAGGTACCCGCTTCAACGAGAGGCGTGACAGGCCCCATGCCCGCACGATCTCGCTGGAAATTCGCCGTGAGCCCCCTTGAACACCCCCCGGACCGTTACATTCAGCAAGGGATGCTTCCGCCGCGAACGTTGGTCTGTGACGAGGTCTGCGACTTGAACGGGGACGCTCTCTAGGTGAGGCGCGTCAAGAATAGCGCAGGAATCGTACCAGCTCTAGGCAAGGCCCGTGGATCGTGGATCGAGTTGTGAAAACCCGCAAAGTGTGGGAAAGAGATTGAATATTGGCAGGGAAATGTTTCTTGGACGCGAACCGGGAGAACTCGGCCTCGATAGCCAACAGTACGAATTGTCGTGGTTTCTGAAATTGTGCAAGGCTCAGGGTAACTTCCATGCCGTGGCTTTGGTGGCGTGCTTCTAAACGCTCCCGTAGTGGCGGTACAGCAGCGGATGCGATCGACCTTGTAGCCGCGCCGCCGGGGACTGCCAGTAAAGGCGGCTCCCAGGAGAGGATACTCGTACGACAATCATCTTGCGGGATCCCGATGGAGCGTTCCGTAGAGGTACTCGGAGCCGTGAGGTAGACGTCGTAATTGCAAGGGGGCCATATGACAGCTCCGGATAACGTGTATTGAAGCGGTTGGTTAAAGGCGCATACACTTGTGTCTTGACTTTGATGCGAAAACATGCCGCTTCCGGATGCGTAACAGCGTAGGCGATAGTCATTGATGGGAGTGAATATATTCTTCATATGCAAGCTTTAAAGGCTGAAAAGTATCTGCAGATAGCACTGATCGTAAAGTGCGGGTTTTGTCCTCAGTTTTCTCTCCTTGCCTCGATAAACACTGCATGAAAGGGGGAATAGTTATGCGTAGCAAGCACTATACAAGGTCTCTAGTTGTGAAAAAGACCAGGCTCGAATGAAGTTGACGTGGTTCCCGCGTCGTGCTAGTTGACTGTGCGTCTGTTAGCGCTGTCACTTGCATGCATAGCTTAACGGCTTGGATTGTCGGTGCAGAGAGGAGGGCGCAGACGAGCGGTGCCCACAGTGACTGGCACCTGCTGTCAGGTACTGTCACTTGACGAAGCGCGCGTGAGAGGCGTCATCTAGGCCTTGCACCGGGGGCCCAGGTCGAGGAAATCGAGGAAGCAGTCTGTGAACGGGAGCTCGAATGGAGGCCGACGAAGAGGTTGAAGACCAGGGTGATGAGACCAAGACTCAGAGCGACGGCGGCGGCGGAGAAGCCAGGGCGCGTTACCGCGGCAAATCCGAGTAGAGTTTGTGCTGGGCATGGGACCTAACAAGACGAGGCCGCGGGATGGCAAGGTATCGCAGTCCGGAAGTGTAAAGTGAGATGAGGTTTAAGCTTGGCTGGCAGCATGCCTCACCCTCACTTTGGAAGGTGACAAGGTAGACGAAGCTTCAGATATCGGCCAGTTTGCGTGCGGAGTTGGAGTCAACTCCAAAAAGCAGTAGGTATGGATATCCATAGAGCAACTCAGAGAGGGATGGAAAGGGAAGAGCGGGGTGGCGTAGAACAAGTGCCTTGCGGTGTGCTACCGTGTGGCGTGAGGTAAGGTATAGTAAGGTATGCGAACGGAGTACCAAAGGTAGCCTGCATGCTTAGGTATGGAGGACGAGGTACGTAGGGAAACAGCAGCTAGGAAGAAGGAACCGAATGCAACGGCGCTGGCGAGAGTCGCGATAAACTTTGTTTTGGGTCGAGCCAAACAGAGAGAAAGAAGCAGGTGTCCGGCGTACCTGAGAAGGAAACACAAGCGTTTGTCCCCTCGATCCATAGTAGAGTGCGGGCACTGGGCAGTGTGGTATCCGTACGAATACACTATGGCTACAGTGGTGCTGTGTGGGTTTCCATAGCAAAACGAGTTGTGGGGGACGTGGAGAAGGTGACGGTGATGTGCCCTCGATGAGGTGACTTGCTTGAGAGCGGGCTCGAGCAGGCCAGGACACCAGGTTGTGGACGAGGGGCGACGGACGACGGGGGTCCGCGTGCCGGTCCAGGGTCCTGATCATGATGTCGAAGCTCCCGGCCTCCAGGGGGGTTAATTGGAGGGTAGGCGGCGGGAGGAGAATGGGAGGAGTCGTTGTGCGTGGTGAGGAGGAGCCGTGATCCACAGAGCTTGCTGTGGATAGTCGATAGTGTGCTGCGATGGCAGGGAAGTACGTAGTTGCGCATATGTTCAAAGCAAAGTCGCAAAAAGGCAGGCCAAATGATCATGTAGAGTACATTTTGGACTTGGATATTGAGTAATAAACGAGAGATGAAGAAGACGGAGGAGGAGGAGGAGGAGGAGGAGGAGGAGGAGGAGGAGGAAGTCTGGTAGAAAAAGCGGGCGGTTGATTGTCAATGGGGACTGGAGTCGAGTCGAGTTATTTTTTTCTCCCTCATGAACAGATTTGGGGACTTTGGCGAAGGGAACGACGTGAAGGGGATGATGGATAATGAGTGGATTGAACTGCTGTGATAGTCCGACCACG